CTATACAGAGTTACACGGAGGTTATCCGGATGACTTCTGTAAAGGCATGCTGGATTTCTGTGTTACAAGTTTAAATGACGTATTATTAATGCATGCTCTTTACCAACTTTTCCCTCTATGCAAGTATTTCGCTTTCTAGTCCTTTTTCTGCTGCGATTTTAGCAGAAATACGACACGGCTGCCATCATTAACACGTACTTTGTAGCATATTTACTGCTATAAACTTGCTTATTTCGCAAATCTTTGTCGAATAGTAACACTGAAAAATAATGGTGAAAGAGTGAATAATTAAGAAAAAAAAATGAAGGGGATCAGCTTCTATTGTTTTTCATATTCTTGGTATAAAAATATCCTATTTTCTACTGAAATCCAGGCAAAAATGCGAAGTTACGTCATGAACACACAAGGACCCACTTCCAGATTTTCTTTGCCTATTGAGAGAGGTGGGTACAGTGATGCCTCTTGCTGACTGCTGAGAAAAAAGCTGGTTTAAGTCGAATTAGGGCGTTTTTAACTAACTCATTTTAGGAGTTTTGAGACTGTTTTAGCGTTAGTCTGCTTGGCATAATTGTGACTGTGTAACATTTGCCGAGTTTCAATGGGATCTTATGCCCTAGTTGAGTTATTTGCTGGAAGACGATTTAGGGGCTAATTTCTTCTTTTCTGAATTTGTACCTGTTTTTGTATAGCATGAGAAAATACAAAGAATTCAGCAAGCAGCATGTGGCCACAACTGCGGAGCACAACAGTAGCAAAGCCTTTACAAGCACTTAGTCTAAATCAAATATCGAGTGAAAAAAGTTAGTTAATCACGCGAAAAACCAGCCTGCCTGCATTTACAAACAGTAAGTTCCCAACATGACTGGTCGAGGTATTCCATTAAAAGATTTCACATATATTCAAAAACATGCTCGGCGGGATTTGCAGCTTAAAAAAAACGGGAAAATCCCCTCGTCGACGACATTTCAGAAAAAAAAAAAAAAGGAATTAAGGAAATCAGCCCCAACGTCACATTTCAGCATGTGTCTCAACGAAGGCTCCAAAAATTAATATAGGACAGCGACAAGCAGGTAGCTATAATTCTCGAGAAATCAACGATATCAGAAGTCTATAACTGTTCAAAAACAAGCCAGGTAAACACCGCCCAATTTTAATGTAGGACAGCATTTTTACAAGGTGGCATTCGACCGCATCACCGTAACTTTGATCCTGCTGCGGGAAAATTTTTACACCAAATTAGAAATGGATCTTTATGTATATTATATATTTTGTTTTATATAACTGGAGAGACCGACTCCGGTTTTATTTACGATACCAGGCCGCACATATATGAATGAATGAATTAAGAAAATGCATTTTTCACAACTTCTGCCTAGGTACTTCGTAATTCGTTCGCCCACATCTGCCTCATATTGAGTATTAGCAGATTTTGCAGTTAGAGAAATCTCACGTTACTCTTGTTGCTCCAAAGAAATCTAAGGTCCAATATTTTTTGGTTATTCAAAGATAATGATCTGGATTCATTCTGTAGTTAGTAACGAAGGACTAGATTTTTAAAATGTTTATCTGAGTATTGGAATGCTTTTTAAATGGAGAAAAAACATTTAATTTTGATTTAGTTTACAAAAAAAAGAAGAGGCTTTTTTGAACTAATGATTTCTGCCCAAGAAATGTGGTTTACTGTCGTTATGGAAGCAATCAGATTCTTTGGCTACCTTTTTCAGCACGCAAATTCCATGATTTTCAAGGTTGTGTGGAAAACTTGCCACTTTATATGCAGTGGCCTACATATTTCTAAATTTGTATAGAACGCTATTTCAGGAGCCTTTAATTGAAGCCCGTATTGCGGAAATTGATAAGCAGTCAAGTGCTTTAGATTCTATTGAAGCTTCAATCGCAAATGCACTGAATCTTTATGACAGTGTTATCCAACAACAGCAGCAACAGTTTTCAGTCAGTTTTTTATGAAAATACAATGGAAAGTCTGGCACTTTTTCTGACAACACTTGAAAAAGCTTTTTTTCAGATTCCCAATATGCAGCAAGTACCCACTGACACGACTTATCAGACTGGGCCTCAGCAATCCGTACAACAGCAGTGGCAGCAACCTCAGACATGGGGCCCCCTGCCAAGCCAGCCGAGCATTTAAAATATTAATGTAACAATTTCTTCAGAAAGCCGATTTCAACACCTCCTTACAGAATTTAGATGCCTGACTTATGGAAATTTTATTTACAGAATTGTTTGAAAAAATCCTATTCTTGTTTATACATTCAATGGACTTGTTTGTCGATCCACTTCAGATATCCATCACTTCCACTGGTGATCTGAAAGTGTTCAAATTGTAAGTACTGTAACTCACTCATAAGACTGATTGAATTGGGTCATTCCCAGTGTGATTTTACATTAAAGAATCACATTTTTCCTCACAAACATATCAGACTGGCACGACTTCTGAACTTCGCGACAATTTCCTTTTTGGTTCCTCGACATACTAGGTTCTAGTAATTAAAATTTAGGAAATTTTTTGACATTCAGTAACCATTTGCATTTAATGATTGAACCAAATGCAGTTGCTTCAGCGGAGTCTCCTCGCATATCTACCTAATCTAGAGTAAGACCTTTTTGATCACTGCTTTCGCAGCGTCTCTAAGTGCTGACTAACAGTGAAAGACTTACTGGGGAGGAAATAAATTCTGGGACCTCATAGGGATGTTTTTCCAGGACTTTCTGCTTCAAGGCTTCAAGAGCAGAAGTTTTTGTTTTGATGACAAGCAGTAATTCACTTTCTTCTTCGACCTCCCCTCGCCACTCATATCTTTAATCACAAATTCCATTAGCATAGACAAGCATCAGCTCAATGAAGGTTCAATCTGTAAATTATAAAAGGAGTAAGGAAATAAGAACTAACATTGATGTAATACCGGGTACGATGTTAACACAAGCAGCCAGTCTGCCGGAAACCACTGCTCTATAAAATAAAGTTTTAATTTACCAAGCTAGAGTAGAGAAACTTTCTTTGTTAGCGTTAGGGCAACTGTGACAAAGCGTCGAACCTTGCTATTTCTTTACCAACTGTGACGTTTGGGACAGTGACATAAACCAGCGAATGTAAGGCAGATTCAACAGCACGAGTAGCCATTCCTTGATTGTAAGCATGTATTAACAACAAAACCCCGCAGAACAACGACATAAGCACCATATTACGTATCATCTTCAAGTTGGCCGTCTTGAATTCATTATCCGAAAACTACTACTCTATATTTTTCAGCTCGTCACGTTAGCAAACTGCCTTTGAATGAAGGACTTTTTGTCTACGACAAATGAAAGAAGAATAAAACTTTATACCAGCATATGAAAATGAAAACCCCACCATCTGACACCCCCGCTCCACCAACAAATAGGGAAAACTCGATAGCTCCTTCAAAAAGAAAGAAGGTGAACACTTCTTTTACTACTCAAGCGATCAGTCAGTAACAGGTTTTACACGTAATACGATAGACCTCCTCATTATTTCTAAACTACTCCTAAAGCTCATCCCAATATGGAACAGTGTTTGATGGAACAATTCGCGCTGTTCGAACATGAAGCCTGATACAGGTATAATTTACGGTATGGTTTTACGTATTCGTTAATGATCTTCTGAAGAAACCGCATAACCATTAAAATGCTTTTAAACATGCAATTCGATAACAGACCAATAAATAATCTAAGTCAGTTCCCTAAGTTCTTCAATGTTCTTTCGGTCTATTCCGTGCTTAATATAAAAGACCGCTGCAGTCCCGGAAGGTTTTTTGTCCACTCAGGATATTCATTCCGGAAGTAGCCTGTGCTAATTAGAAAGCTCAGAAAACGAACAACTCCACTGTTCAACAAACAGTCGACTATCGTGAAATCCTCTGCAGCGAATAAACAAAAAAGCAAAAAGAAGACCATGAATTTATAAAAACTTAAAAAAAACTGAACTTGAGACGACAGAAATGGCGCTAAAGCCGAAAAGTAGCTTGTGGTTCACCGAGCAGGAAAAAATGTTGAGATAGCATATTTCAAAACAATTATAAGGAACGGAAATATTCGAAATAGAAGCTAAATTCTAGTACCGCAGGTTTTAAGAGGAGATCTATCTTAACAGAGAATAAAAAGCAATAATCAAAGAGCTGAAAAGGGAGACACTTTGATACACACAGACTCCATTCGCGACCAAGAAAGCCTCTTCAACTGCAGTTACGTTTCTGGGGTTCTTTAGAAGATACAGAAAAGGAGGCTAACGAAGTGATCATTACAACGGTATTTACCGGCTCAACCGTAACTGTCAGAATTTGTCGTCTTCAATCCCACGTATTGGCAAGATGTATGCTACTGTTACACTCAAATTTTTAAAAAACTATGCCCAACTCCAGAACGATGGCAAAACTAAAAAGTACCCAACAAAGAGAAGAAGTACTTTGAGAATGGGATAATTTGGTTTTCGTTACATCATTTGGGTTACTTTTTTTCTAAATCAACTTTTTTTTTTGCTGGGGAAACACGAATTTTTTCCTGTTTCTGGTTTCCACCATCTGTGTGTTTAATGTACGTGGAGTGTTTAATAAAGCACCTATGCTATTTATTACAAGAACTAACAGTTCTTAAGAAAAGATGGGTTGCTTTTTAGCGTAATTAAGCAGTTTTACTGTCTCATTTAAATCTAGTGATTCGGCACTAATGTGTTCCCCACAGTTTTAACTAAGTGCTACATGATGAATTTTTTGCACTTCTCAATGCTCTACCAAGCGAAAAACAAAAGGAAAAAAAGAACCCTAAAATCACATTCCAGCAAATAACTCAGTAATGGTACCAAAATCCAACTAAACTCGGCGTCTTTTGTGTAGCCGCAGGCCTGACAACACAATTGCACCAAACGGTCCCAGAACTTCCTAAATAAGCCAGGAAAGTCTGAATTTAAACTCAAAGCAGCATTTATCCAGGCAAACATCCTTAGGTACTATCGCATCCATTTTGCCATAAACAAAGCAACTTTCTCACCTGACTAACATTAAGCTCTCGCGCGTACATCAAGTATCCTCACGTTTTGACCAAAGCTCCTTAAAAACACAGCTATTTTCCTATATAAAACGTGATTTGAGAAAATGATCTACTATTCTTCTTTGCTTTCATTTTTTTGCAATTACTTATTTTCTCACTACCATTTTTCACTGTTTCTTCATTCAGTATAAAATCACATTTTTTTATTCCCTCCATTTGAAGCAGTTCTCCTTCGTCCACGTACCTGAGTACCTTACAATTTCTTACATAATACTGTGCAGATTATTTTACAAAAAAACTGACAGTGTTTCCTGTACAATAAGCAAAGTTATCCATATGAAACAGGTTAAAGACTACGTGTAAAAATGAAAATACTCTGAAATCTCAGCTAAAATTGTAGCAGAAGGATCCAGAAGCGAGAAAATTGACAAATAAAGAGGCAGGACATTCACAAAAAGCACGCTACCAGCAACATATCATTTATATAAACATCGAAAACTAAAATTAGCAGGCCTGGATGGAGGACGGACGGATAACATCCAGGCGCCTCCGCATAAAAAGTGGCATTGAGCCAAAATCACTGGAATTTCTCCATAAGAAGACAATAATTCCGTTTTTGAAAAATTTTAAACCAGATTAGAGGTGAATCCGCGCAATGGCTTTCTTTACAAATTGCCAACTGGTCGCATCACCGTAATTATAATCCCGCCACGAAAAAATTTTTGCAAAAAATTAGAAGTGACGTTTGGGACATGTATAGTCGTGTTCATTTCTATATAATTGTATTGTCAAGAATACGAGCGAAAAAATGCCTTCGTTTTCTGAACGGCTCCAGCAACTTTGCCGCAGTGCCATTGCGGTGTGAAGAAGTACCTCTACGTCAAGCCAGCGGACTCCGGAAAAGTATACGAAACTTTCGTATTACACGTGTGTATGAGGTGTAACAAAGAGCTTTTGCTTAACAGTGTTTAGTCTGTTCATTTTTGGAATTCCGTGCTTTTTGACCTCCATTCTGCCGAGATTTTAGCAGAAATGTAAGAGCGTTTTTGTTTTTTTACACATTATCTTTTAACTTAATTAATTTAATAACTCAGTTAGTTGCGCTGAAACAGCTGTCAGTTTTTTAATGTAGGATTCTACGTAGTTAACAGTTATAGAAAGTGTGAAAGAAATATAGGGTCAGGATCACTACGAGGAAGATACGCTGTCTCCAACTGTTAGTTCGGAAAAACCTCATTTGTCAAAAAGTAAGAAAGTATTCAAAAATAGTAGTAGAAAAATAATAAGTAGTGAAAGAAAGGCAAAGGATGTGAAAGAGGGACAGCAGTACTATCAGTATGAATTTTTTTTTGCATTTTTTTGAAAAGAGAATGGTTCTTTTTCAAGTAAAAACTTGAGACTACCTTTGATTTTTTGCATATACCGCGTGGGGGGACGGATACGGTAGTCTCCTTCAGCAACCGTCGACAAGAAATGTCGAAGGTAATCTCAAGTTTTTGCTTGAAAAAAGAGTCATTCTCCTTCCGAAAACAAGCAGAAAAAAAATCAACACTGGTAATATTGCTGTCCTTCTTTCATCCCCTATTTCTCTTTTTCACTATTTATTATTTTTCTACCACTATTTTTAAATTTTTTCTTACTTTTTGACAAATGAGGTTTTTTCGAACTACCACTCTAAGACAGCGTATCTTCCTCGTAGTGGTCCTGACGCGATATTTTTTTGGCACACTCTTAACTACGTAGAATCCTACAATAAGAAAACTGACAGC